TTTGTTAAGTATTAGATAGTAACATATATATATATATATACATATGCATATTTATATATATATATATTTATTTATTTATTTACTAAGAATAGTTATAGTAATTGTTAACTATTTTTAGTAAATAAAATTTACTAAAGTTAATAATTTAAATTTATTTATAATTTATTAAAATTAAAGAAAACTTTTATTTTTATTTATTAAAAATAGTAATAGTAATAGTAATAGTTTACTATTTTTAATAAATAAAATTTTTCTTCAATCTTTGTATAAAAAGTGAGATGAACTTTTGCATCAATCCAATATATATATATATATATAAATATATGTGTCTCTATGTGTGTGTGTGTGTGTGTGTGTGTAAGGAAACCATCGTTATTAATAAAATGCACTGTCTTCGTTTTTTTCTTTTTTTTTTCTTTTTTGGACGAATGAGTAATTCGATTCCTTTTTTTTCTTTCTCTCTTTTTTTTTTTTTTTTAATATTTTTTTCTTTCCTTTTTAACACGTAAAAACGTTTATTTAAATTCAAATAATAAAATATTAAATGCAATCGATTAAAAGTTTCAAAGTGTACATAATATCATTTAATTACTTTTACAATACAATATATATATATATATATATATATATATATATATATAAAACAATGTGTTCTTCCTCTTTCTTCGTCTATTCTCGAACGCTTTATCGATTGTCGAAGTACTCGACGCTTTTAGGGCAAATTCCGAACGTAGATATTATCTATGTATACGCTACGATTATCTTCAAATAGCGTGACTCGCTCCAGGGGAATGATTCGCTTGCATAATTACGAAGGACGTTGGAGAATCCTGGAGAATTTTGGTTGTGTCGATCATCGGTATCGTTATCCACGATAAACGCCCTGGGATTTTCGTGAAATTTTCGTCATTCGCGCGGAAAGTTTCGATCTTGTCTTTGGATTCCAATTCCTTTGAAAGAATTTATATTGAATTTATAAACATTAAATATATATATATATATATATATATATATATATATATATATAATCTATTGTATAAATTAATTCTCTAATATAAACTATAAATAATTACGTATATTTATATTAATTTATAATATTATTTCTATAATATTATTTATTTATATAATGTATATAATTATACAATATTAATATTGTATAATTTATATACAATATTATTGTATTATAGAATATATATTAAATAATACGTATAATAGAATTAATATTAAATAAATTTTTAATAAGTAATTAATAATAAATAATCGTAGCTTCAAAATTCTTTCAGAGCAATTATAAATCTAAAGAGAGAGAAAGAGAGAGAGAGAGAGAGATGAACACAGAGGAAGAATTTAATGTAGAATATAAAAACGAAGTAATATAAAAAGAATAAAATAACAATTTCTTTATAATAGGAAGAATTATTTATCCGTTGGAGAACAAACACGCACACTTAAACAGATACAGGAACGTGCTTAGAAAAATGATTAAAATCTCTATATTATATACATATATATATATATATATATATTGGTAAAAGTAATAGCGTAGATCTATCTACGACTTTTCCTTTATGTTTTAATCTCTTTTTCTTCTTTTTTTTTCCATTCTTTTTTCTTTTTCTTTTATCTTTTTTTTTTTGTTTCTTCCCTCCTGAAAAACTCTCGTACCTCTCGTACCATTCCTCCTCGCGTTCCATAAATTCTCTTCCTGTCTTTATCTTTTTATTTTTGTTACGAATAAAATAAGTAGAGTTTTACGATTTAATTTAATCGCAACTGGACGGATAGAATCGTACGAAAGGAAGAAATTAAATACGGATATATAGGTCAAAAGCCGGAGAATTCTGTGACGATATAAACTGACGATTTTTATTTGACGCTTTTGCTCCTTTCCTTTTCCTTTTTTTTTTCTTTTTTTTTTTTTTATCCTTAAATATTGTAAAGGAATTAACTTCAAATACGAAAAGGTTACTTGTGAATCGTTCAATATATATATATATATATATATATATATATAATATATATATATATATATATTATATAGAAGAAAACACACACACACACACACACATATATATATATATATATATGTATATAAAAGAACTTCATCTTATCGGATTCGACTTGGAGAGCGTACGTAAGTGCAGATTGCTCTAAATCTGGTTACGCTTGAGTCTCAAATCCCATGCCATCGAAATCCCGGATTTTGACATATACTTTTACGCTGGTATTCGTATACGAGAGTAAGTGAGAGACTGAACGAGCGAGCTGGTGTGTTACCTTTGACTTACAAGACCAATGAAATATCTCAGAGACAGGATGAAAATTTCTTTCGAACGTTTTCAACTTTCTGCCGATAGAATTTCTAACGGGATTAGAGCTAATTTTCCGATCGGAGATAAAGGAACGATGTTTGCCTAGCGCAGTTTCCTCTCTGGAAAAGGATTTCATGCCTTCATGAATAAGGCATAACATCAACCGAAGGCGAAAGCACTTATGACAGATTGCAAGCTATGCACGATGATTCGAAACGTCCGATTCGATATCTCGAACGGCTGAAAGGGTGAGTGTAGAAACTGTTAGGTTGCCAGGTCAGTCGTGCTGAATGAGGACTGATTAGAATTTAAGATATGTGGGTCAGTCGGATGTGGTCGATAATATCACCAGAGGGATATTTCCAAATGCTTTGCTCAAAAAAAAAAAAAAAAAAAAGAAAAAGAAAAAAGAAAAAAACAAAAAACGGAAAGACGGGATCCTTTAATCTAGACTTCTTTTTTAGAGAGAGAAAAAAAAGAAATATATATATATATATATATATATATATATATATATATATATATATATATATATATATATATATATATAAAGAAAAAGAGAGAGACAGATAGAAAGTATCCGATTGAAAATCACGAAAGTTCTTCGCGCCATTACACGTTAATTTCAATTATAAGTATTTCAATGAAATTTATTAGACGTACCTTTCCCAGTGATAAAATAATTTATGTACACGTAACGTTCATTTAATATTTTATTATAATACATTATAATAACCTTTTGTGTCATAAATTTGAGAAAATCGTGGGACAGACAGAAGAGTAAATGGACCCCTTTAACGGACAATTACATGACATTTCTGGGAAACATTTCAACTACTTGGATTTGCGAGATTTACGTAACAACCCATCACGTTATTCAACTAATTCCACAAATTACCGTTGATTAATGAGAAACGCACATTCGTTACAATATCGTCTGTTAATTTTAATAGAAATATAAACACACGTAAATATATGCGCCCTACTTTTATTATATTCAAATCCAATTTAAAAATTTTGTATTTTACGAAATACATAAAGTATATATAATTCGTTACATTCTTTATATAAATAAAATAATGAAAATATATTATTCATAATTAATTCATTCATCAGTAATGATTAATAATTTATAAAATATAATAAAATATTTTTGTACAATTTTTATAGAATTATCAGATCGAACAATAACTCAAACACCTAATGCAAAACATTTAAAATCAAATGTTATCTCTATCTTTGAAAATAGATTAAACGTTAGACATATTACATTAGCAAACAGACATTTTAACAAATCTTTACGTTTTAATCGAAAATTATCATAATAATAATAATTATTATTATTATTGAAATTTTCTAAGTAATTAAAATGACTTATTAAATGAATAAAAATATTATTGTTCTTATTGAAGATTATTAACTCTATCGTAAATTCAGATACAAAGTACCCAACATATATATATATATATATATATATATATATATATATACACACATACACACATATATTTAGAATCGAATGTTATCTCGTCTGGGAAATAGATCACAGGTGAAGATGGATGCATTAGATAGATACATTAGCAAACAAGTATCCTAGCAAAGTTACCAACTGGGATATCCTAACATGTCCTTACCGAATATATACCGACCGTAAACCTCTAAGTCTAGGATAGACTAGCTATCTAGTATATCGGCCGTACGCAGCCTAGCCACGATAGGAGAACAAAGTGATCCTCTACCATTTGTATTCGACTACTATACCTTTGTCCGTTGAGATAAGTCTTTGGCTTAGAATAGGCCATTTCACTTTTCAACGAACGACCCATTATAGCATTTGATACATCTCTTGAAATTAATTTCTATAGCAAAAGACGTCAGCAATAATTCTTCTCCCGTTTCTTTAGAATCTTACAGATTTAACTTGATTCTTATAAAGATATATCTATATCATGAGAGATTTCAAATTTAAAATAAAGAAAGAGAAAGAGAGAGAGAGAGAGAGAGAGAGAGAGAGAGAGAATGATTATAAAAGAAGCAATTAATTCTCGATTAATCACATACAATCAATATTAATCCTAATTGTGTACATCTCAAAGATAATTTCAAGTTGTGTACTTTGGAATGCGCTACACCCCAGGCACTTTAAACAGCTGTCATTTTGTACAGTGTCAATAATTTTGACTACAAAAAAAATACTGTATATTCTTTGAAGTCTTGAAAATAATTATCAGTAGATTTGAAAACGCATTTCCAATTCTGTCATCATAAAAAAAAAAAAAAGAAAAAAAAATTCATGAATCATACAACGTACAAATTGTTTTAATTAAGCTTAAAATTGATCCTTGTTGTGTCCTATTCTACAGATATAACTGAGATAATATAATCGAACGACAATATCTCAATATTTATTTAATTTAATTCTTTTTTTGTTATTACAAATTTTTAACAATTACTTCATATTTGCAAATTTTTCATGGATTTTATATTTTTTCTTTTCTTTTCTTTTCTTTTCTATTTTAAAAATATAAATTATATTTACAATTAATATAGATTCAAATAATATCGTAACTTCGATGAAATTATAAATCGTTCGTAAGATATCATCGATAATTGTGTATATTTAATCGATTATGGGAAATAAGTATATAGTTAAATATTAGGTTTGACTGATCGGTCGTCTTGTTTCAGGATGTGCCCCCAACCTTCCATCGACCCCAGTCCAGACTGGGATACGAGGAATGTCCACAATCTCGCGTGGGATATACCTCGGATTCCAGGTGTGCCAGTGGACTTGGGTACGATGACACGGGCGGGGGTTACCTGGATCAGACTGACCCAAGGATGTATTGCACCGGCGGTTATTGCATGGGGGATACGATGATGGCCACTAGCAGAGGTGTCTGCGGCGAGGAAGTTGAACTTGACATGCGGAGGCATATTCAAGCTTGTGCCTGCACCTGTAATCATATGGGATACGGAAATTACATGGACTATCAGGTAAAAAAAAAAAAAATCAATATCATTTATTTTATATACCTGTACATATATATATATATATGTATACACATGTATGTATGTGTATAACGTTATACGAATCATTAAAATTCTCATGATATTTCGAATTGTCGTTGGAATGGAGAAAGACATTTTTTTTTTTATTGTCACTCGTCTAATTAAGGAATTATTATTTTTTTTATTTTTATTTTTATTTTTATTTTATTATTATCATTTTTTTTTTAGTATCGATTAATATTATTGAATAAAAAAATAACTTTCTTTTTTATTTTTTTTTATAACATTTATACTATATATTTGGATTAATAATGCAATAATAATTAAGTTATGTGACCAGTTATATATATATATATATATATATATATATATATATATACATCGTGATATATTTTTTTTTTTTAGAACTACGAAATAGAATACGACGAATAATTTAATAATTAAAAATGTAGGTGTAATTCTTTTTTTTTTCTTTTTCTTTCTTTTTTTTTTTTTCATTTATTAGTGATAATGGCTGTCACGTCAAGGAGTTTAGATTTATGAAAGATTTACTAAAGACAATTTATTATTAAAAAATATTATTTCTGAAAGATGTGACGATTAAAATGGCTTATTTTGTTCACTTTGTTTAGACAAGGTTTAACGTAGGACGTAATAAAAAATATACATGTGTCAGTGATTAGAGAGAGTATTCGAGTTAGCGTTTATTGAGAAAGCTTAGTATTTATTAATGATTGAGAAAAATCAAGGCGAGAGGAGAATGAAAAAATAAATTTTTTGAATTTTCTTTTACCAACATTCGAAAATGAGAACAAATTATTGTAATGATATAACGATAAGAATATAATAATATCTTTAGGAATTCGAAACAAAAATAAATTGTAATGACATAATAATCTTGATATACATATACATCCTCTATATTTACTAAGGTACAATGTCTCTGGTTTGAAAGTTAAGGAGAGTTAGATTAATTGAAATTGTCATTGACACTTAACTTACAATTTGAACTTGCGAGTTGAAACTCGCAAATGACCGCATAGATTAATTCCTCATAATAGACTAAATAGCAAGGGTTGCGTCAGGGTTAAGATATTCTATTGATTCTCGATGATCGAGAAGGAAGGGGATCAAGGTATGGGATAGGGTGAATGAATGTGGTCGCTTGATCGTCAAGATGTTAAATTACGTTCGATCCTTTGTCTCCTACACATACTGACGGTGATGAAAATGTTTTATCAAAAGAAATTTTTAGGTGTAACTTTATTTGAACTGGATTGATATTTTTCTTACGATATACAATTTACTTTTTAGTTCAGATTCTTCTTGGCTATTCTCTCTCTCTCTCTCTCTCTCTATTTCTCTGTTTTTCTACTTCGTCTAAGACATAGACACGTGTGTATCCTGTCCTTGAATTATTTCTACTATAATCAGTGACATCAGCATTGTCATGTGCGTCTTATCAAAACACAATACCTGTGTTTACCGTCGATATTAATGGATATATGGTGATTGATAATAAGTGAAAGATCTATGTAAATAACTCTATGGATCTCGATTTCGTATTACGATGATATCAATTTATTCGAACGATCTAAAAATGTTATTAGTAAATAGAAAAGCTATACGTATGTTTTATGATACATGATAAATCTCAAAGTTTGAATAATAATAAATCTCGTATTTCGAAGTAAATGATAAATCTTGAATTTTGAAATATTTAATGATCTAAGGGGTTTTTGTTTTTTTTTTTATAATGAGACATCACAATGAATCGAGAATCTAATCGATGAATCTCTCGCGATATTGATGATTAATGAAATAATGAGAATTTTTCGTTGCACTCCGATAATTGTTTTATTATTTATTATCCTATCGAGTAAATATAATATCGACGTAAGTATTACGATATGATATGAATAAAAATCAATTACTTTTCTTGCGTTCTTTCTCTACTTTTTTTCTTTCTTTCTTTCTTTTTCTTTTTTTTTCTTTCTTTTTTTTCTTTCTCCTTTTCGTTTACTTACAAATTTTCCCCGGTGTATGCTTGCTGAACTCTGACGAAATGAATTTCCATTTAATTTTATTTTATCGTTCGGTGAGCCTGGATGGATTAGTCAGGATGAAAAGCATTTCTTCGACGTGCTAAAAGGAGAAACAATGTTTTTCTAAACTCTGTCTGGCACAAACGATGCTAGAGTTTAAAATTTTCAACGTATGCAAAGTTCTTTGTACGATAGTTTGTAAGGCCTTGTCTTTGAAAGTGTACACAAGGGAACCTATATGAAGAGAAGGAAAGAAAAAGAGAAAGAGAGAGAGAGAGAGAGGGGGGAGAGGGAGGAGGAGAGGGAGAAAGAGAGACGTTTCTAACCGTGAGCTCCTTAAAAGTTCTATGGGGAATATAAAACGTCTACTTCCAACAAGCTGTCCTGTCCTCCCGTGAAAAAAAAAGAGAAAAAAAAAACGAGAAGAAAGAGGGGAAAAAAAAAAGGAGAACGAACAAAACTTACGGTCCGATCTGTACAGCTGATAACGTTTCATAATAAAACTATCCTTTTAATATATAAGCAATTTTAAAAATCTACCTAATAAGTATTCTCATATTGATCGGTCGGCGCATTAACGCTAACTCATAATCCAGCTTTTACATTCACACGAATACAGATGATACTTACACAAAAGCACGTACGTGGAAAGCATATATATATATATATATATATATATATATATATATGTACGTGTGGGAAGTAATAAATAATTAACATCTGTTGAGTATCCTTGTTAGTTTTCGAGATTTGCTTTGCATACGTCGTATATTATAATATTTTATCGTACCTAAAATCAAAGAAATTATTATTAAGTTTATGACGTTAAATGAATGTGACATTTTTTTTTTAATAATGACGTTTAATAATAATATTAATAATAATGATAATAATAATAATAATAATAGATTTAACATTTATAAACTAAAAGTTACTTGTTAAATTATGATTATAAAATTTGTCAAATATTAAATTTCTTTCAAGATATATAAGAATAATGATTTTCAATTAATCTTCAAAAGACATTTGTATTAATTAAATGATATTTAATTTGAAATTATTACCATTGATAAGTAAAAGTTTATGACGTTAAATGAATCTGACATTTTTTAATAATGAAGTATAACAACAATGACTAATAATAATAATAATAATAATAATAATAATAATAATAATAATAATAATAATAATAATAATAAATTTAACTCTTGTAGATTAAAAGTCATATGTTACTAATGCTACGATTATAAAATTTGTCTAAGATAAAATTTCGACAAATATAAAAATCGATCTTGAATAAATCCACAAAAGTAATAGTCGTTAATTAATTGAACGATATTTCGATATGAAAAAAGTGACGAAAGGAAGAAAAAAAAAAAAACAGAATTTGTTATCCTCACGTTTGGTCTATTATTGTTTCTGACTGTGATATAAATGAACGATCGAAAGAATCGTGAAAGGAAATTCGTGCAGGTTGACCTTTTGCCCGCGACTGATACCCACGTTTTATATGAAATGTCATTGCTAATCCAAGTAAGAGATATATATCAGTGACGTTCACTGCTGGCCGATTAGCCTTTATTTTTCACGGTCATGATACTAAAAGAGAAGAGACACAGTTGGTCGATCCTGTCAGTCGAGACGTCGTAAAAATAACGAACGAACCTTCCCGATATTCCAAGAAAGAAATTATCAAATTTAGAGTTCACCGAATAATCTTATAATCTATATTTTCAATTAATGTCGCGCTAAGCGACTATATCCAGCTCATTAATCGATTAATATCGTTGTACTTGCATTACGGAATTCATATACATAGTGAATATATTTATGCGATAAAATCGATAAAGTTCAACGATGAAAATGTTCGATGGAGAAACGATGCGTAATTTTTTTGCATATCTTTTTCTTATTTTACGAATAAAAGTGGGAGAGGGCGGAGTGAGGGGAGGAGAGGAAAGAGAAAAGAAAATAAAACGAAATAGGGTGGGGGCGGGGGGAGGGTTAAGTCGGAAAAGAACAAAAATAAAAAAGTTCAGAAGCGAAGTTCGTGTATCTGTAAAGAGACAAAATAAAAAAGTTGGATCGTTTGGACCTAACAACTTGATCCTTACCAATTTACATATAAAAATAGAAATGCGAAAGCCACCATACACTCTAAAAACACATGTACTCGAGTAATAGAAAAGAGAAAGACAAGAGAACTTATATATGTATATAAACAACTGCACACGGTAAGTATCTACAAACTTACACTTAGAGACGAAAGTTGTACGAATCACCGGGTGTTATGGCCCCGTTTGAACCTTTACCTAGCTAGATACCTATGTATCAAAAAAAAAAAAAAAAAAAAAGAAAAAAGGACAAAAATTCATTTTGAAATGGCGCTGGCTACACGTTACCGCTATACGGCACTAACCTCAGACCCGTGTTCTGGTTCGACCGCACTGGTGATTCTGGAACGTTGCCAGAGAGTTCCAAAACGATCGTAAGAGCCTCGCTGCAAAAGAGAAAAAAAAAAAAAAGGAGAAAGTAAAAAAAAAGAAAAAAAAAACCAGCACGCGCGTATCTATCATCGTAATACCTGTCAGAAGGACTATCATGGATGCGCACGTGCGTATCCACGAAGGTACGTGATACTCGTACTGCGCATAGTTCCCTTTATGTCCTTACACAGAAACATAGATCCATGCACACATATGCACATATGCGCACACGCGCTCGCACACGCACACATACACACACACACACACACACATATATATATATATATATATACAGACAGGCGAACGGCACATATCAACGAAAGTATGGGAGTTGGATACATTTTTGGTTACGTGCTTACCAACCTACCTGTGCTACTCTATGTCTAGCCTTCTTTTGCGCGTGAGCACGAGCACGATTGGAGAACGGATGAAAAGTGTAACCGCAGCCGAGCAA